TCTAGGCAGACGTTAACTTAAACTGTGTCTTGTAAAAAGCATCCTATACAACATGTGTCGGCTGCTGAGTCCCTCTGGATACATGACCAGGAGAGAGAGAACTCCTGGCAACACTGCCAAGCAAGAAAGAAGAAGAAGAGAAGAGATTGGATTTATACTCCCTACCATCCCTTCACTGGGAGTCTCAGAGCGGCTTACAAACTCCTTTCCCTTCCCCTCCCCTGGGAGGTAGGTGGGGCTGAGAGAGCTCTTTTGAGAGAACAGCTCTGAAAGAACTTGTGACTGACCCAAGGTCACACCAGCAGCTGCGAGTGGAGGCGTGGGGAATCAAACTCGGTTCTCCCAGATTAGAGTCCAGGCACTTAACCACTACACCAAACTGTCTCCTGGGGAGCCAGAAAAGGGCCCAGCAGCCATCCCAACACTGGAGTAGGAAGGGGAAATAAAGCAGGAGACTTAGTACATACACTAGCGCTGCTCCGGGCTCACTCTTCACTTTCACTTTTGCCTCGATGGTAGGTGTCAATTTCACACAAGCTGCTGCGCGGCCGCATTTTGCCTCGCAGCTTTGTGTGATTTTCCCCGCGTCTACTCAATCCTCAAAAAACAGGATTGAGTAGACGCGGGGAAAATCGCACGAAGCTGCGAGGGGCAAAAGTGAAGAGTGAGCCCGGAGCAGTGCTAGTGGGAAATCACCCTCAGATCCTCCTTACATGCGACGTGTGACACCAGTTAGGATGGGGATCCACAAGCAAAAATGGAAGGGGGAGCTGTTTATCCTGCGTCCGGGGTCCACGTGCCTTCCCATGTGTCCTGGCCACACGAACCCATACAGTGGTGGGGCAAACAGGGCTCACGTGGCTGTCGTTACTTGGCGCAGGAGGGAAGGGAGGGAAGACCGAAGCCCCTCCTCTTGTTGGGCCATGCTCCAGAGCAGAATCACACACACACACACACAGCACTTTTTAAGGTAGTTCTTCATCACACGTATCACTGCAAGTCAGGTTGGTGGATCCCCCGACCCGACTCGTGTCACATGTCTCACGTCGTGACAGGGTTATGCCAGAATGTGCCCTGTGATAACAGTGTTGGAATATTTACAAGTTGCCTACTCTTTTTGTCATTATGGAGTTAACTGTTGTTGTTAGTAAATAAGAAATGACCTAGCTAGCCTGTAACCAATGTTCCCTCTAAACTGTGGAGTCTTGTGAGCAAAAATTCTACTTTGTGAGCTCCCGGCATTAAAGCTGTGAGCAAGCAATGTGGCTACTGCATAAATTAGTTTGCTCTGGAGCCATCCTTCCTGAGCTAAGACAAAAATGTGTGAGCAAGCAATGTGGCTACTGCATAAATTAGTTTGCTCTGGAGCCATCCTTCCTGAGCTAAGACAAAAATGTGTGAGCTGGAGGCTAAAAAAATGTGAGCTAGCTCACACTAACTCAGCTTAGAGGGAACACTGCCTGTAACCAATTAGAAGTAGACATCAGTTTGCCCGCGAAGATTGTGGGTGGTGTGAGTCAAATGAAGCGATCTACAGACATGTAATTGGCTTGTCAATGTATTGGATGTTTGCATTTTATTACCAGTTTCCGTTCTTCGTTTGTGAGCAAGAAGGAGCAGCCGTTAAGCTTTTACCTTTTCAACTGTGAACTTGTAGACTGTTTAAGCTCAGACAGTTTTCTTTCTTTTTCTTCCAAAGGTCACTTCCCCCCCCTTTGTTGTCTAGTAAAGTCAAGTTTCTTTTCTTGAAGCTCAAACTACACATGGTGTGATCTATTCATTTACTCTTCAACTTAAACAAACAATATACGGCCATAAGGTGATTGCTTAAGTTGGTGGTGTACCAGAAAACTTTCTTCTGTGCTATGGCTCAAGAAGAAAATCACATGGGGCATGTAGTTCTTTGGGAGGTGGC